GCTCCCGGCGCCTTTCCTCGGGCTGCCGAGCCCCAGGGTGGGAGCTGCTTCCCGCCGCGTCCCCCCAGCTCCAGCCCGCGAGCCGGCGCCTTCCCAGGCCGGGTGTATTGGACGCTTCTCCCCGTCCCCGTCTCTCTCTCTGCCCACGCCGAGTTTGACGCCTTCACCGAAGCGCAGCGTGGAGATGTTACCAGCGTGGTCTTCACAGCTTGCCTCACTTTTTTTTCCCCACTTGATATCTCACTTCTTGTTTTTCTCCAGGAAAAAAAGCCCCACAAAGCAAAACAAAGCCCCAAATGCAAATCACACCAACGGAGAGGAGCGGTTAGATTTCTGCTGGAGCCTGCCCACTCGCGCCGTGGTGCGGAGGCGGCGCGGGAGGGGAACAGAAGGGGCCTCTCACTCCCAGTATGTTCTCAAAGCCCCCATCGGCGGGCCGGGGTACAGCCCGGCAAACATCGAGGTCCGGGTCCTCAGCTCCTGCAGCGTTAAAATCCCAAACAGGGTGGGAGATTTTAAGGACAGAGGAGATAAGAACCCCACGCTGAAGGCCCCCGGTTAGAGAGGAACCCTTCCACGCGCAGCCTCAGGCCCCCGGGGTTGGCGGGACTCGGCCGCGCTGGTCCCAGCCCCGTGGGGGGCCCGGAGCTGTGCAAGGAGAGAAGGGAGACCCGAGGCAGGAGGAAGGGAAGAGGCTGCAGGCAGGGAGAAGGGCTGCTGGCTCCCGAGGCAGGGGAGAGGATCCCTGGGATTCGGGTGGAAAAAGAGGCAAAGACAGACAGAACGGCTCCGTGGCGTCTGCCCCAGCAGCCAGCGAGGAGATGCAGCGTTACAAGGACCTGGATTGCCACATTTTGCTTGTCTGGGAGAAGGGGTCTCAGCTTCCCAGGGGCTCTCCCTGCTGGATTCGCCACCTTTCTTCCCTCCCTGCTGCCTGGAGCGGCTTGAGGTCCCTCTTGCCCTACCTGCTCCGTGGCACGGCTTGCGTTCTGCCCGGGTAACTCCGTGGGTGGAGGAAATAACCCGGCTGGAACGC